CTGTGCCATGCTGCCATCACCCAGGGTCTGGCAGCCCCCTGCTGGGAGGCAGGCCGGGATGGACTTCTGTTCCATCCAGAACTAGTCACCGCAGAGATCCCAGCAACGGCCAATATGGAAGGGTGAGACCAGGTTACTGGAGGGCTGTGGGAGAAGAACATGGATTCCATCAGCCTGTAACAGCCTCTCTGGGTTATCTGTCTGTGGGCACCCCTCCAGCAAGAGTGGCAAGTGCCCACACATACAGGGTCTGTTTGCATGTGTGCATATCACAGTGAGTGTGTGTGTACATGTGTACTGTACATTTCTGCACTCGTGCATAGGTCTGTATTTGTGTATTTCTATGTACACACTTATGTGCCTGTGAGCATATATGCATGTATAGGTAGATCTATGGGTGTTTGGGCCTGTCTTATGTGTCCTTACGTGTGTGTGTGTGTGTGTGTGTGTGTGTGTGTGTGTGTGTGTGTGTGTACGTGCACATGCATGGATGTGTACAGCCAGGAGTTCTGTGCAGGGCAGGAGAGTTGCCAGGCTTTTCACAGTCCACTCCTGGCCTGGCTTAGACACTACTTGTTCTGACTGTAACCCAGGCAGGCACCTCACCAAGGGATGCGGGAGAAGCTGTCCCAAGGTTCAGGGGCAAACAGAGTGACCCCTAGTCTGGGTTTCAGGCAGGGCTCTGATGGCACATCTCCCCCAGCCTAGTGGAGCTGCCCTTGGCAGAGACTGGCTCTGTCACCAGCAGCAGGCATCATGGACTGGAGTGCCCTGCCCCAGCCCCTGCTCCAGCCCCTGCTCAGCTCTCATAGTGGGAAATAGACCTTGATTGGAAAGCTGCCCTCCTGGAAGCAAGCAGGAGCTCATCCCAAATTTGTGCTAGCCTCCTTAGGGTAGGAGGGCAAGAAACTGACCCTCCCCCCTCCTGCCCCTCCAGCATATGCCATTCAAACATGCTGGCCCATCTCTAAGAAATCCAGGGGCAACAGTGGGAAAAGGAAAGTCTGCTTCCAAGATGCTTAAACTATTCTTGGTGACACAGCTCCTGGGTCACCATGCCATGTGGACATGTGTTTTGGGGGGGGCTGGTACACACCAGTTCATATCTGTTCAGTTCACATCAAACATACCACCATCACAGCTAAGCCTTGCCGGGCTGGGAAGCCCCCTTCACTGTGTGGCTCTGGGGCTGGATATGTGCAGACAGGGTAGGTAGCCCCAAACGTGCCTCATGGGTTCGGGCCTGGCAACTGGGGGACGAGGGATGAGACAGAGACGGTAGGAGGAGAAATGGCCTTGAGGAGGGGCAGGCATACCATTGGACATCCAAAGGGAGAAAGTCTGGTGGGCGGTGTAACCATGACTGTGATAGAGTCCAGAGCAAAGTTGGGGGGCAGGGGTCCTGGGATCACAGATCAGGGGGGCTAATCTAGCCTGGAGGATCAGAGGAAGCCTCCCTGAGGGTGACACCTGAGCTGGGATATTCTAGAAGGCAGGCAAAGGGTGAGGGCAAAAAAATGTCCTGACTGACGGAAGAGC